TTACCTCTAAATGCTTCAACTAAAGGAAAGAAGCCCTTTATCTTTCTAGGGTTTTGCGTTCAACTTCAAATTTTCATACTTTCTATTTCAGGAACAAAAAAAAGTTTCTTTATCATTTTATATCAATTCCGTGTCTGAAAATCTGAAATTTTGAATTGCGTATTCGCCATTGATCTCTAAAAAGAGTCTGAGAACAAGATTCTAGAATCTAGGGTTTGCAATGTCGGGTCCACCCAGAGTTCGATCCATGAATGTGACTGTTGGAGATTCTGATTCCCGGCCTGTACTTGTCCCTGCCGGGAACAAGGTTTGCACTGTCAAGAAAGTGAAGAAACCAGCGCCGGAAACGGAGAAGAAATCTTCTGAGGCAGTTATGAACTCGCAATGTGGGTTGGTTACTCCGGTGGTTTTGAAGCGGCGGGAGAGTCATCGATTGGTAGGGATGAAAACTGTGTCGATGAATGCTTCGTGCTCGTCGGATGCTTCGTCGACGGGTTCTTCAACTTACAGTAGTGGTATGTCGTCGACCGGGAAAGTGGTGAGACATGGAAGGAAGAAGCAGGTTGGTTTGAAGGTTGATAAGGTGAGCATTGATGCTGTGGCTGTTCCTGTTGAGGTAGATTCGAGGGTTGGCTTGGAGGGCAAGAAAAGGTGTGCTTGGGTTACACCGAATACAGGTATTTTTATTCTGTCATAATCCTTTTTATTGTTAGTATTGGTACTATTGGTACTATTGATACTATTGATTTGAATATTATACGATTTGTCAAAAGAGGTGTGCTTAGAATATTATACGGTTTGTGATATTGGTACTATTGATTTGAGCTTTTAGAATATTACGCAATTTGTGATATTGGTACTATTGTGTGATTTGTGATATTGGTACACTATAGCCTACACTACTATAACTTCTATTTGACAATGCTTTCTACTAAATCACGTATCGTATAACGATATCTGTAGTATGTTCAAATTTTGCTATGTTATAGTATCATAATGTTGCCGTGGCTGTTATTTGACAAGGTTGTTTAGAACACTATGTAATGTACTCAGCTTTAGTGAGCCACCTTTTCTTTCAGCAGTTTAGCGAGTATAATTGTTACTTAAAATGAAAATCATATGGAATTTTTGGCCGTAGAATACCATACGTAGGTAGCATTTCATGTTTGAGCTGAGGATGAGGTGCTTACTCGTGAGATATATTCTTGGTTTTGATTTCATAGGTTGGAAGCCATACAAAATATATGATTTGTTCTATGTCTTTGTATATTGCACTTTTTAGGCTTTATAGAAAAATATAGTTGCCAATTAATGTTTCTGCAACATTTACTGATTGTAGTCTCTTGATTGATTGTGGAATTCTCAATGTGCCGATTTATCAAGGATGGCTTTACACTTGGAGAAGTCTTTTTTGTTACCTAGGGAACATGTGTTACTCTAAATTTTGCTTCCCATCTAATATGTTTACACAATCAGAATCATTCTACAACAATGTACTTCATATCTTTAAGACTAAATTATAGTTAGTATTGGATGAATAGTTCCACATGCGTCCATAATTTGTCTCGTGTAATGCTTTTCTGCATGACACGGCTGCCCATAGTAGTGATTGAGAGTTAAAGGTTGCAACTTATGGTAGTCTAGGGTTGCTACTGAATACTGAAAGGCTTAACAAGGGTTGTAGTGATTTTCTTCCTTGCTTAACTCTGGCCAGTGATCTTCATTGCTCAACCTTTTTTACGGCTAGCTTGAAACATTCATAAATTTTGTAAAGAAAAGTTAAGTATTTAAAACATTTAATACATTGGTGTTCATGTTCTGTGTTCATGTCATCTCATATCTGTATCACATTCATGCTTTCTACATTTTGGGAAGTCAACATTTGGCAGTTATTACTTAGTCTAATTTACTAGTTTACTAGTCATATATCAAACACATGACATATGACGATGATTAAAACAACTTCGATAAAATTCAGAAATAAAGATGGTCTGGGATTTTCGAATCCTTTATTTCTCACTACTTGGTAATTGCATCTAGTTACTACAATTGCTTGTAGTACTCCCTCCATTTCGAAATGGCCGTCGTTTAAGGTTTTTGCACACAGATTAAGAAATCTAATAATGTTGTTATAAGATATTGTACTTTTATTAAATTAACCTTATAAATATATTGGAAGTAGTGTACATAGTAATAATTAAATGACACAATTGAAAATAGCAATCATTTCTACATTGAAAAGTGAGAATGACATTCATTTTGGAACAAATATAATTTGCTAAAACGACATTCATTTTGAAACGAAGGGAGTATTACAGTGTGTTAGAATTAATTATGATTGTAGATATTCTAGAGTGATTGGTAGTATTCCTAGACTAAACAACTTCCTAGATTAGTGCTTATTCATTAACTAGGCTAGTGCTTATCCATTAAACTTCAATGTATTTATTGTAACACTAGTATAAATACAAGTAGTGTGATCTACCTTAAGACAAGCAGAATTTACAGAATTCTATACAGTGAATTAACAAATTAGTTAAGGCAATTGTCTTGGTTCAGAACCCTCTCCTTCAATCACAACATCCTAATGTCTTAGGTGAGTTCATGACCAAAGAAGGTTTAGAAGAGTCAATTCCTAATATCACAATCAGATAATACAATATGTCTAAAGTTAGATGGAGTCTCAAAGGTTAGGATTAGTAATCATTAGATACTTGAGATCAATTCATAAATTCATCAATATGCATTATACACAATTTTATCTGGGTAATACAAGATTATCTATTGCATAGAGTAGTACTCAATAATTACATAGTTCATCTAAAGACCTAATAAGTAGAAAATTAGCTACTCATAATTAGCATCATCATAGCTAATGAGTTTAAGACCTTTTACATGAATCAAAGAAGAAATATGAGCTTCAATCGTGTAGAAACATCAATCCTCATCTCTTTATACCTTGCAGCCTCACTTCGAACCATCAAATTTCGAACGCTTGCAATGATTTGAAAACCGCTTTTAAAGATAGACAAAAAGTCAGCTCCATGTGTGCAGCTGACGTCAAACGCGCCTCGCGGTCAGTAAACGCCTCGCGCGTCGAGACATCAGAGAAACCTGCTTTTCGCGGGTGCAAAGATGCGCCTCAGGCGTGGAGACAAAATCAGAGGACCCACTTCGTGGGTGTGGGATGCGCCTCCTGTGTGTCGGTCTTGACTGGGACCCACTTCGCGGGCTTGGCAGCGCTAAAATGACCTCTAAACATGTAATTTCCCGACTCGCAGGTTTGGCGGTGCTGAAATTGCCTCCTGGTGCGACAATTACCCGCCTTGCGCATAGCACCGAAATGGCTTATGAAATTCTTCTTTTCTCCTCTTTGGATCTTACTTTATTTTGTAATAACTTCTGTAGTTTCTTTTGCAAAAAATTCACTACAGAGTTGTATGGTTATTACAATTTGAAGTAATTTCCTTAGCATTCAGTACAATTACAATAGTCCAGATCTTTTACAAAATAATCTAAAAACTTTGATAAAAGCATAAAAAACTAAACTAGATTGATTTGAAATTAGTAGTAAATTACTGTTATGACCGAGTGTCATCAACTTGTCTTTAACTTTCCAATTTAAAAATCATTATATTCAGCTTAGAAACCACAGGATACAAGACAGACAAATTTACCTTGAAAAAGATAACGGTATACTTGCATTTACACATGACAATGTTAATCACGAACCTTATGTGTGAAAGAGGGTAAAGCTTGGCGCAACAGTAAGCTGCGTCCTTGGTACTGAAGTTTATAGATTCATGTAGAAATGTAAAAAAGCATATGGGTGATAATTGTATATTTTATTACGAAGGAAAATGGGCTCTTTTTATAAGAGAGAAAATACAAAGTCAGCTCCTTTAATGTAGGAGTGATATAATGACTCTTAAAGTAATATAATGACTCTTAAATAAGAAAATAAATAATACTAAATAAGAGTTATTTCAAACCCCCTCAAGTTGGTGCATAGATGTCAATCATGTCCAACTTGCTGATCAAATATTTAAATGTTGTTCTTCCCAAGCTTTTGGTCAATATATCAGCGGTCTGTTGATTGGAAGGGATAAATGGCAAGCATAGAGTACCAAAGTCAATCTTTTCTTTGATGAAATGACGGTCGATCTCGATATGTTTTGTACGATCATGTTGAACCGGATTATGAGCTATGTTTATAGCTGCGTTGTTGTCACAGTACAATTTCAATGGGGGGTTCTACCTCTACCTTCAGTTCTTTTAGGACTCTAGAATCCACATACCTTCACAAATTCCTTGGGCCATTGCTCTAAACTCAGCTTCAACACTACTTCTTGCAACTACACCTTGTTTTTTTGCTTCTCCAAGTCACTTGGTTCCCCCACACATATGTGCAATGACCTGAAGTTGATTTTCTATCAATAATGGATTCTGCCCAATCTGCATCAGTGAATATTCACATTTTTATCATTGGTCTTCTTGAAGAATAACCCTTTTCCAAGAGTTGCTTTTAAGTATCTCAAGTGCACAACTTCAAGGTGTTCTTCATATGGTGCATGCATGAATTGACTCACAACACCAACAGAGAAAGCAAAGTCATGACGAGTATGAGCCAAATATATTAATTTTCCAACCAACCTCTGATATCTTTCAGTGTCAACTGGTGTGTCCCCTTTCTCCCAAAGTTTGCCACTTTGGTCCATCGGTGTGTCGGCGGGCTTACAACCACTCATACCTGTCTCTTGTAGGAGATCAAGAACATATTTTCTCTGAGAAACAACAATTCCTTTCTTTGACCTTGCTACTTCCATGCCAAGGAAATACTTGAGGGGACCCAAGTTTTGATTTCAAAATCTGTTGCTAAGTTTCTTTTTAATCTCTCCATTTCTATCTCATCATTACCTGTAAGAATAATATCATCAACATAGACTATAAAACAGTTATCATTCCATTTTGACTTGACTTTGTGAATAAATTATGATCTTCCTGTTTCTTCACAGACTGAGTAAACTTTTCAAACCAAGCTCTCGGAGATTGTTTCAACCCATACAAGGACTTCTTTAGTTTACACACCTGTGACCCAAAGGTTTCTTCAAAACCTGGAGGACAATCAATATATACTTCTTCTTCTAAATCACCATTGAGAAAGACATTTTTGACATCTAGCTGATGGAGAGGCTAGTCTAAGTTAGCAACAAGGGATAAGAGTATTCTGATTGTGTTAAGCTTTGCAACAGGAGCAAAGGTCTCTGAGTAATCTATGCCATAGGTCTGAGTGGATCCTTTTGCAACCAATCGAGCTTTGTACCTTCCGATTGATCCATTAGAATTGTACTTTATTGTGAGCACCCACAGTTCTTTTACCTGCTGGCAGAGTTGTGGCACTCCAAGTTTTATTCTTTTCAAAAGCTTTCATCTCCTCAAAAACAACTTCCTTCCATTTTGGAATTTCTAGAGCCTCCTGTACATTCTTAGGAATTTTGACACTAGATAAATTAGAAGTAAATGCAGCAAAAGAGGGAGACAAGTTTGAATATGATGCAAAGTTAGACAAGGGGTGCTTAGTACATGGTCTACCTGGCTTCCTAAAGGCTATAGGAACATTAAGATCAGTATATTGTTTCCTAAGTTCTATAGGGACATCAAGGTCGCTATATAGAGAATTAGGATCAAGGAGAGATTTACCTGTTTGAGTCGGTTGACTTTCCCTCGGTTCAGATTCTTGGCTGAGCCGAGGAATAAGATCTTCTACTACTTGATCATTGTTTCTTTTGACATAAATTTTTCCTTTTCAAATTGGATTTCCTTCCTCAAATGTTTTTTTTTTTAAATTTCATTATAAGGATCTTTATCTGGTGTATTTTGATTAATTTCAGAAAAAACATTTGTTTGATCTTTGTTTTGATTTGTTGCCTCGGATTCTGATTGATCCTTACTCATGGAAGGAGTAGGTTCATCTAATTTTTTCAAGGCATTTTCTTTAGGTGCAGATGTACATGAAACAAAATTATGTGATATATACATCTTCTGAGATAATTAAGTTTTCAAACAATTCAGGAGAATCTTCATTTGTTTCCCCTCTGAAGATGATCATTACCAAAAAAAGGTTTGTTTTTAAAAAAAGTAACATCCATTGTTACAAATATTTTCTTTGTATTAAGATCAAAACATTTATAACCTTTTTGAGAAGATGAATACCCAATGAAAACACATTTGATTGCACGGGATTCAAGTTTACCAAAATACTTGTGTTCGTGAACAAAAGCAGTGCATCCAAATATTTTAAGTGGTAAATCAGATAGAACTGAAGCAATTGGAAAATATTTCAAGAAACTTTGCAAAGGAGTTTGAAATCTCAAGACACGGGATGACATATGGTTTATTAAATGTGTAGCTGTCAAGACAGCTTCACCCCATAAATATTTAGGAACATTGATAGAGACGAGTAGTGTTCGTGCAACTTCAAGAAGGTGTCGGTTTTTCTCTATGCAATCCCATTTTGTTGGGGTGAGTTAACACATGAACTTTGATGCACAATTCCATTTTCAAGAAAAAAGTTTCCAATAATTTTATTAAAAAATTCAATACCATTGCCAGTTCTAAACACTTGTATTTGGGTGTTAAACTGTGTCTGCACCAATTTACAAAAGTTGTGAATTATTTGACCTACCTCAGATTTTTCTTTCAACAAGTATACCCAACAAAGTCTAGTATGATCATCTGTGAAAGTGATAAACCATTTTTTGTTGGATAAATACTTGTTCGATTAGGCCCCCAAACATCACTATGAATCATTAAAAAAGGTTTTGAAGGTTTATAAGATTGAATTGGAAAAGAACTTCGATGATGTTTAGCAAACTCACAATCCTCACATTGAAGTGAAGAAATGTCTTGTTCAACAAAAAGGTTAGGAAACAATGAACTTAAATATTTAAAACTAAGGTGGCCTAACCTTAAATGCCACAACATAATGTCATCCTTATTATTTGAAACAAAAAAAGATTTAACAGAAGAAAAAACTTATTGGTTCCAATTGATGTCTGGTTTTTGGTTCATCTTCCAAGTAGTAGAGACCACCACTTTCCTCAGCAGTGCCAATCGTCCTCCTCGAGATCAAATCCTGAAATACACAATGAGTATCAAAGAAATGAGCTTGACAATTTTTATTTTTTGGTTAGCTTTCTGCCACGGCTGAAAGAGAGCCATCAACTATTTTAATTTTGGAATTTCCTGCACATGGTTTATATGAAGAAAATAAACTAGATTCACCGGTCATATGATCGGTGGCTCCAGAATCAACGATCTATGTACGATTAGGAATGACACTATATGGAGCACGAAGGTGTTTGAGACTCGAGGAGTTTGTACATTTAGTCTAGTTGTTCCTTAGTGAATGGAAATGTATTTGGGAAAGACTGTGCCTCTTGATCAGAACTTGCTTGAAGTGCACGACCCTCACCTTTCTTTTTCCAATTAGGAGGCTTTCCATGAATTTTCCAACAAGTCTTACGTGTGTGATAATAACGTTCACAGTGATCTCACCAGAGTTTACCATCTTTCTTACCATATTTCTTGCCGTCTTTATTGAAGTTATTTGTGTCAAGGGCAGAACCATCAGTTGCTGAATTTGACTTTACCATCATTACTCTTTGTCTAGCCTCCTCCCTTCTGATTTCTGAAAAAGTTTCTCGGATAGTTGGCAGCGAATTATTTCCAAGAATTCTACCTTTTACTCCATCAAGTTCCTTGTTGAGACCAGCAAGAAAAATAAAGAAATGGTCGTTCTCCTGCGTCTTAATAAACTGAACACTGTCTTCAGTACACCTCTAGTTATAATCATAGCACTGATCCAACTCTTGCCAAAGGGCCATCAATTCATTATAGTAGGTAGTGACATCCATGTCATTCTGCTTTAAATTCCATAACTTTGATATTATATCATAAATTTGAGCGGAACTTTTAGTATCAGAGTAAGACAGTTTTACAGCATCCCAAACATCTTTTGCTGTAGGCAGATACATATATGTTTTTCTCATACCTAGCTCCATAGTATTAATAAGCCAAGCAATAATAGAAGAGTTTTCAGATTTCCAGAACCTGTAATTAGGATGTGTTGTTGCAGGCACTAGAACATCACCTGTAAGAAAACCCAACTTCCCTCTGCCTTCTAGAATAAGTCGAACAGTTTGAGACTATTCAACGTAGTTTGAGCCATCTAGTTTCTGAACATTAACCTGAAGAGTTATTTTGACCTCCACCTCCCGAGTTACTGTAACCACCCTCAAATGGGTAGCCATAACCGGACCCAAAAAGATTGTTGTTGAGATCACCTCTGCCATAATCGAACCCACCGTTAAAATTGTTGTTTGTCATGAAACTGGACATTTCTGGCATGGTAAATCCACTTTCTCTGCCGGAATTGTGGGTGCCTCCGGAATTGACGTTGGCGCCGCCGCCAGAATTGTTGTTTGCGCCGCCGCCTCTGCCTGCACGACCTCCGGAAGGAGGTGGTGTTTGGATAGGGTCCACCATAGTTTGGATCGGTCGGGTCAGATAAAAGAACGGGCCGCTAGAAATTTTTTCCAGAGGCGATGCCCCGAACCCCGCTAGTTAGGGAAAGCTTTACAGTATCACCCTAGCCCTAACAGAGCTCATGATACCATGTAGAAAAGCATATGGGTGATAATTGTATATTTTATTATGAAAGAAAAAGGGCTCCTTTTATAGGAGAGAAAATACAAAGTCAACTCCTTTATTTTAGGAGTGATATAATGACTGTTAAAGTAATATAATAACTCTTAAATAAGAAAATGAATAATACTAAATAAGAGATGTTTTATTAGAGTGAGATATGAGAGAGAAGAGAGAGAGAAAGCTAAAAGAGAAAAGAGAGAAACTTATTCTGTTATTGTTATATTGGAATGGAGCATGATGCTCTATTTATACAAGAAGAGTTGAACATTCAAGAGTTGAATCATTCAAGCTCTACATTTAAGGGTGACTCTTCTTATTCTATTAAATTAAGGTTGGCCTTAATTATTCTACGGTGCTGATTTTTCATATTCTAAGATATAACTCTAATACTCCTCCACAAGCTCAAGGTGGCTGCAAAGGCTGACTTGAGGTAGACAGGTTGAGCTTGCTGCTGAGCTCTATAAATCTTGAACTTGAGAGAGGTTTGATGAGGATGTCAGCCTTCTGGTCAGCACCAGGAATGTGGCAGACAGTGAGACTTATTAAGGACCTTTTCTCTTACAAAAAAGAGGTCAATTTCCATATGCTTTGTTCTTGCATGAAGAACAGGGTTACGAGCCATAACAACTGTGCTCTGGTTGTCACAATAGATGGCTGGAATTGTCAAGGGAATTTTTAGTTCAGCTAGCTAAGTTTGAACCCATAAAACTTCAGCTGTGGTGTGAGCCAAGCTGCGATACTCTGCCTCAACACTAGAACGAGCAACAACAGTTTATTTTTTGGACCACCAAGAGATCAAATTATGGCCTAAGTACACAGCTGACCCAGAGGTGGATCTTCTATCATCTGGGTCAGCAGCCCAACCATCATCACAGTAGGCCTGCAGAGAGAACAGAACAGTGGAGGCAAGAGTGAACAATAAACCAGAGGTGATAGTGCCTTTTAGGTAGCGCAGTATACGCTTGACAGCTAGCCAATGGGACTCCAAGGGGTGTGCCACGAACTGACATACTTTGTTAACAGCATAGCAGATTTTTGGGCGTGTAATTGTTGCATACTGCAGGGCCCCTACAATGGACCTGTAGTGAGAGGCATCAGACAATGCAGCAGACCCTGTTTGATGAGTTTGGTGGTGGATGCCATAGGAGTAGCAACTGGGTTGGAATTCTCCATATCAATTTTGATTAGCAAGTCCCTTAGGTATTTGGATTGAGTGAGAAGGAGATTCCCATTGGACATTTCTTCACCTCAAGGCCCAGAAAATAATCCAAGTCACCAAGTTGTTTGAGAGCAAACACATGATTTAGTTGTTGAGTAACTTGCTTGATGAGAGGAGGAGAGTTTCCTGTGATGATTATATCATCAACATAAACCAACATGTAAATGACAGCACTGTGATGCTTATAGATGAACAGTGAAGTATCACACTTGTTGTTCAGAAAGCCAAAGGATAAAAGAGTGGTTTTGAGTCTTTCAAACCATTGCCTTGGGGCTTGTTTGAGGCCATACAAGGCCTTGTGCAAGTGACAAACCAGAGATGAATTAGGGGCAGAAAATCCAAGGGGTTGCATCATATAGACCTCCTCTTCAAGAATGCCATTCAAAAAGGCATTCCAACTGTTGCAGAGGCCAATTGTAAGTGAGAGCAAGAGTCAAAATAATTCTAATTGTGACCGGTTTAATAACAGGGGAGAAAGTTTCATTAAAGTCAAATCCATGGACTTGATGAAACCCCTTAGCAACAAGCCTAGCTTTGTACTTATTTACTGTCCCATCAGCATTTTCCTTTACACGAAAAAATCCACTTGCAGCCTATTGCTTTCCTGTTAGCAGGCAGTGGTACCAAAGACCAAGTGTTGTTCCTTATCAAGGCACCATACTCCTCTTGCATAGCAGCAAACCACTTAGGATCGTGGAGAGCAGTTTTAACACTCTTAGGCTCAGAATTGACAAGAAAAATGGAAGGATTTAGACGAGGTAAGGGTACACCAAATTTAGTTCTAGTTGTCATAGGATGAGTATTGGTGGGGAGAGGTTGAAGGTTAGGATCCCTAGGAGCAGAAATAGAGGAGGGTGGTGAAGTGGTAGTAGTAGGCTGATTGTTGGCATTTGAAGAGGGTGAAGGAGTAGGATTAGTGCTGGCTGACACAGAGGCAGTCGGTGTGTGGCTGGAATTGGATGGAATTGGATTGAGAAGAAGAAGAGGAGTGTGAGGTAGTGGAAGCAGTAGGAACGGGAAAAACATTAGGGAGAACTTGTGTGTTAAGGGTTACTTTAGATGATGAGGAGGATGGAATGGTTGATGAGGGGAGAGAAACATTAGAGAAAAAAAGGTCATTGTAAGGAAATTTGGACTTATTGAAAAGAACATCTTTAGAGATGAATATTCTACCACTTGGGGAGAGACATTTGTAACCTTTGTGAGTTGTAGAGTACCCTAGAAAAAGGCACTCATGGGATCTAAAGTCAAACTTCCGAGAGTTGTATGGGCGAAGGAGAGGAAAACAAGCACACCCAAAGACTTTGAGGAATTTATAGTCAGGATTTTGATTGAAAAGGACAACATATGGTATATGTTGATTGAGAGACATGGTTGGTAACCTATTTATTAGGTAGACAGCAGTTAAAAAGGCATGATCCCAAAATTTAAGAGGTAAAAAAGCATGACTCAAGAGGGTTAAAGCAAGATCAACAACGTGTCTATGCTTCCTCTCCACTACACCATTTTGGTGATGAGTGTGAGGGCAAATTAGACGATGAATAATGCCAAGATCAGAAAGAAACTTTGTAAATGGACGAAATTCACCACCCCAATCAGTTTGGATTGTAATTCAGCCATGACTTTGAATTGTTTAAAGATAGTTAAGACTTCAGATTTATTTTTGAGCAAATAGGTCCAAGTAAATCTAGTGTATGCATCAACAAAGGTGATGTAGTAGGTAAAGTTTTGAGAGAATTTGACTGGGGCAGGACCCATAGGTCATTGAAAATTAATTCAAGAGGAGTGATATTGAGTTTGTGACTGAGGGGAGTGCAGCCTATGTGCCTTTCCCATACAGCAGGCATAACAAAAGACAGATTCATCTTTATTAGAATAAGGAATATTACATTGAGCTAAAACAAGTCTCATAGTATTAGAATTTGGATGACCAAGGCGTAAATGCCAAGTATGTTGAGAATTATATGAGTTATTAGCTGAAACATTTTGATTAGAAGCTGAAACCCTATCACTAGTGCTGGAATCAGATCTTGAAACAGGAGCATTAGAGTCTAAGGTGAGACATGAGACTTGACTTGTTGAAGGAGACTTAAGAAGTTGAAGATGGGCAAATTGATACAGGCTATCACTTCCTACACGACCCTGGAGCAGAATTTCATTGGTAGCCTGAGATTTGACATAGCACATATCAGCATGAAACTCAAAGAAAACTCTATTATCAAGACAAAATTTGCTGACACTTATCAGGTTCTTTGTAATAGAAGGAACAAGCAGTAAATTATGAAGAGCTAATGGAGTGTTGGGTTTAGAATGAAAGGGAAAATAAGAAGAGACTGAAGAGTGAATGTGCAAACCTTGACCATTACCAATGAAGATCTGATCAGGACCTTCAAAAGGTGTGGTCTGCTGTATGTTTTGAGAGGCATTGGTAACATGATAAGAAGCTCCTGAGTCTGGGAACCAGGCACTGCTTGGAACTGAAGCTGTGTTAGCAATCATAGCATTGAGAGTGATCTGTGACTGAGGAACATGGAGAGGAGCAAGTCTTGGTTGATAGCTTGGGCGTGACCACGTGTTAACCATGGGCTGAGCAAACTGAGATCCACCAATTGGTTGATACGGATTGTAGAAATTTTGTAGGTTCATTGTTTGAAAATCAGCAGGTATGTTAGGTTGAAACTGTTAATTGAACCTGTGATAGCAGTTAGCAGCAAGGTGACCATATTTGAAGCAAACTTGACATTGAATGTTGTTGAACCTACCTCTCCTACGGTCCCGTCCACCACCACGGCCAGATGCATGACCTCCTCTTGAATAGGTTGGATTAAAGGTTGAATTCACAGCTTGTTCAGTGTTCTTGTTATTGGAGTTATCAGTTTCAGGTTTAGAATTGACTTGAGTGAGATTCACTGAGGCAGCCACCTCCATTTGAGAGTGTTTCTTATACTTGTTGAATCTTATTTCATGAGCTCTGTCAAAACCCACGATTCTCTGTGTATTTTAGGATGTTTTATATTTGCTATAACAATTGTATCTTGCTATTATTAGGTCTAGGTATTTATGATCAATCCCATAATTACAGGGATTTGTTCCTTTAAGAATTAGTTGTCCATATTTCCTAAAATAGGCTGCAGGCTCATGTATATATACAGGTCTAATGATCTAATAATATAATAAGAAATATATTATTCCTTTTAAATTTGAGATGGTATCATAGCTCCTGATCCTTGGGAGTCTCTGACCGTGCCTGTAAACCCTAATTTGCAGCCTTCATTGCTGCACCCTCTTTAAGCCCTGTTGCAGCCTCTCTACCTTGATCACATCTGGTCATGGCTGAGATCGCGAATCCCACTCTGGAAACTGGGGACAAACCCCAGACCAATGGAGAATTGCAAAATGTCAACTCATTAAGACCATCTTGAAAGGAAAAGGAAAGGTCAGTCACTTGACTGATAATATACCTGATGAAACAGATCCCAAGTTCAAATCCTGGGATGAAGAAGACTCCATGATTATGGCGTGGCTGTGGAATTCAATGGTCCCAGAAATCAGTGATACCTGCATGTTCCTTAAGTCAGCAAAGGAAATTTGGGAGGTAGTAGAACAGACTTATTCTAAGGCCAAGGATGCTGCTCAAATTTATGATGTAAAGGTGAAAACCGTGGCAGCCAAACAAGGAAACAAATCTGTTACTGAATATGCCAATCAACTCAAGTCTCTATGGATGGAATTGGACCACTATAGAGTTATAAAAGCAAAGTGTTCAGAAGACTCAGCAATCCTTAAGAAGTATATTGAACAAGATAGAGTATATGATTTTTTGGTAGGCTTGAACCCTGAATATGACCAGGTCCGAATCTAAATCCTGGGAAAAGAGAAAGTCCCAGGGCTTAATGAAGTGGTAGCCATTATCCGGAGTGAAGAAAGCAGGAGAGGACTGATGCTGGAAACCTCAACCACTGAAAGCTCCGCAATGATAGCTGAAGGAGGAACAATCATGAGGAAAAATGGGGTTCCCAATATGGAGAAAAACCATGAGGAGGTCTGGTGTACCCACTGTAACAAGCCGCGTCACACAAGGGAGAAGTGCTGGAAATTACATGGAAGAACCCCAAGCCGAGAATGGGGGCAGAGAGGAGGCCCTCCAAAAGGGGGAGGACAAGGGCAAGCACACATTAGGCAAGGGCAAGCACACATTGCTAATGGTCAAAGGGAAGAATCAGGTCAGTTGAATCAAGAAGAAATAGAACGAGTAAGATCATTCCTTAGCAAACTCGAGAAGCCCACAGGTACATGCTCCTTAATATATTCTGGTAAGTTTCCACTTTCTTTTGGGCTTAATGTTTCAGATACACCCTTTACACATTACTGGATACTAGACTCTGGAGCCACTGACCATATGACCCCTATACCCAAATATTTCTCCACATATTCTCCATGTCCTAGCAACAAGAAAATTTCCACAGCAGATGGAACTCTTATAACTGCAGCAGGACAAGGAGAGGTCCAAATAAGCCCATCCATAATACTAAAAAATGTCCTTCATGTCCCCAAACTGTCCACCAATCTGATTTCTATACAAAAACTCAAAAGATCTCTCATGTAATGCTGTTTTTTATAACAACTCTTGTATATTGCAGGACAAGAAGTCAGGGAGGATGATTGGACATGCTAGAGAATGGAATGACCTATACTACATGGAGGATCCTAATCTGCCTACCAACAGTCGATCTCTCGTATCTGAATCCACCATGACTAATAAAGAGAAGGTCCAACTATACCATTGCCGGCTAGGACACCCTTCATTTAGAGTTGTAAAAATGCTCTTCCCTTCCTTGTTTAAAAATTTAAATGTGGAGAGTCTCAACTGTGAGGTGTGTGAGCTTGCAAAACACAAGCGTGTACCTTTTCCCATTAACAATAAAATAAGTCCTTCCCCTTTTGTTCTTGTTCACACTGATGTATGGGGTCCGGCGTATGTTCCTAATATCTCAGGTGCTAAATGGTTTGTGACCTTCATAGATGATTGTACTCGGGTGACTTGGGTTTTTTTATTAAAACAAAAATCTGAAGTTAGTTCCGTGTTTTTTCAGTTTGTCTCAATGATTAAAAATCAATTTGGAGTTGGTATCAAAAGAATTAGGTCAGATAATGCTAAGGACTACTTTAACCTTATACTAAACTCTTTCTGTCAAAAGGAAGGGATAATCCATGAGTCCTCATGTGTGAACACACCCCAACAGAATGGGATTGCAGAAAGGAAAAATGGGCACCTATTAGATCAAACTCGGACTCTACTTTTCCAAAGCCATGTTCCTAAGAGATTTTGGGGGGAAGCCCTTCTTACTGCCACCTACCTAATCAATAGGTTACCCACAAAAATATTAGACTCAAAAAGTCCCATGGAAGTCCTATCCTCATTCTACCCACACTTGGATCCTACAAATAAACTCCAACCTAGAATATTTGGGTGTGTATCCTTTGTACATATTCATAGCAATGAAAGGGGAAAATTAGACCCTAGGGCTGTCAAATGTGTATTCTTAGGGTACTCTTCCACACAAAAGGGATACAAATGTTATCAACCCCTATCAAAAAAATTCTATGTGTCAAGAGATGTCACCTTCAACGAACAAGAGAGCTACTTCAAGCAGCCTCATCTTCAGGGGGAGAATGTACGAGAGGAAGATGAGACTCTCGTGCTTCCAAATATGACATTTGGACCTGAAAGTGGGACAAATGGCATTGCTGTCCCTGAAAGACAGACAAAACCAGCACCTGAATGCATTGCTGTCCCTGAAAGACGGACAAAACCAGCACCTGAATGCATTGTTGTCCCTGAAAGACGGACAAAACCTAAATCAACAGCACCGGAATCAACAGCAGGACCTGAACCTGCACCTAATGGTGGAAAATTTGGGAAAAATCTGGTATATACAAGGAGAGAAAAGGCCATTCTAGAATCTGGCAATGTCCAAGAATCCAACCCATCATCTCTGCATGAGGTAATATCTTCAAATCCTATAAACTCCAATGATTCTAATGAGTTTGTTTATGAAAATCTAGAAGCACAGGTAGACCAAAATCTAGACCTACCCATTGCCCTCAGAAAGGGAACTAGAACATGCACCCAACAACCACTTTACCCACTATCAAATTTCTTATCCTTTGAAAAATTCTCACCTACCCATAGAACCTTTCTCACAAACCTCAACTCCACACACACACCTTCATCTGTATCTGAAGCATTATCTGACAGGAATTGGAAACAAGCCATGGATGTGGAAATGGAGGCATTAAACAAGAATAGGACTTGGGAACTTGTCACCCTACCAACTGGAAAAAAAACAGTAGGATGCAAGTGGGTATATGCAATAAAGTACAGGGCTGATGGGACCATTGAACGCTACAAGGCAAGATTAGTGGCGAAAGGTTTCACTCAAACCTATGGAGTAGATTACTTGGAGACATTTGCCCCGGTTGCTAAGATGAACACGGTCAGAGTAATATTGTCATTAGCAGCAAATCATGATTGGGACCTGCAACAATTCGATGTGAAGAATGCTTTTTTACATGGAGACCTTGAAGAAGAAATATACATGGAGTTGCCCCCTGGTTACAGTGGACAAGTTGCTGCTGGAACTGTTTGCAAGTTAAGAAAGGCTCTATATGGGCTGAAACAATCCCCAAGAGCATGGTTTGGAAGATTCACCAAAGTTATGATAAATTTGGGCTACAAACAGAGCCAAGGGGATCACACATTATTTATCAAACATTCAGTTTCAGGGGGAGTAACGATTTTATTAGTGTATGTGGATGATATTATAGTAAGTGGGGATGATAAAAAGGAGCAGCAAGTGCTAAGTGAATGTCTTGCCAAGGAATTCGAGATCAAGACATTAGGGAGACTTAAATATTTTTTGGGAATTGAAGTGGCCCATTCCAAGAAGGGAATCTTCATATCTCAACAAAAATATATTACTGACTTGCTTAAAGAAACAGGTAAGACAGCCTGCAAACCAGCAAGTATTCCAGTTGACCCGAATATAAAGTTGGGAAGTGCGGAGGAGGATATTGCTGTGGACAAGGAAATGTATCAAAGACTTGTAGGCAAGCTTATTTACCTATCTCACACAAGACCAGACATTGCTTTTGCTGTAAGTTTAGTTAGCCAGTTTATGCACCAACCAAAGGAAGCACATTTGCAAGCTGCTCTTAGAATTGTGCAGTATTTGAAAGGGACCCCTGGAAGAGGGATTTTGTTCAAACGAAACAAGAGTGTAAGTCTTGAAGCATATACGGATGCAGACTATGCGGGGTCAGTGGTAGATAGAAGATCAACTACTGGATACTGCACCTTCCTTGGTGGAAACCTAGTGACTTGGAAGAGCAAAAAGCAGAGTGTGGTAGCTAGATCGAGTGCGGAAGCAGAATTTCGAGCAATGGCCCATGGAATATGTGAACTTCTATGGCTGAAGATTATATTGGAAGACTTGAAGATAAAGTGGGATGAACCTATGAGGTTATATTGTGACAACAAATCTGCAATTAGTATAGCCCACAAACCGGTGCAGCATGATAGAACTAAACACATCGAGGTTGACAAACACTTTATCAAGGAAAAACTAGACAATGGTATGATTTGCACACCATATGTATCCACTCATAACCAACTTGCAGACATACTCACCAAGGGGCTGAACTGCATTAACTTTGAAAGGATTATATCCAAGCTGGGAATGGAAAACACCTATTCACCAGCTTGAGGGGGAATGTCAAAACCCACGATTCTCTCTGTGTATTTTAGGATGTTTTATATTTGCTATAACAATTGTATCTTGCTATTATTAGGTCTAGGTATTTATGATCAATCCCATAATTACAGGGATTTGTTCCTTTAAGAATTAGTTGTCCATATTTCCTAAAATAGGCTGCAGGCTCATGTATATATACAGGTCTAATGATCTAATAATATAATAAGAAATATATTATTCCTTTTAAATTTGAGATATTTCATGAACAAGAAGAAGAGCTTCAACTTCTTCAAGTTCTACTGAATCAAACTTGCTTTCAATGACTGAAATAACAGAGGCAAAGTCTCGAGGAATACCTTCAAGAATCACATCAATGTGTTGCTGATCTGGAACTGGATCTCCTACTGAAGCAAGCGCATCAACAAGAACTTTGATGCGAACTAGATAATCACCAACAGATTTGTCTTCAAGTGTTGTAGATCTTCCGCTCATAGTTGTCTTGCTTTCGCACGTGTAAGCTTTTGAAAATGCCCAAGAATACGTTCCCAGAGCTCGTAGGAATGAACGCATCCAAGAACGCGTGAAAGAATAGAAGGTGAAAGCGTGGATTGAAGCCACGTCATAAGCCACTGATCTTGCGTAATCCAGGTGCGATACGTAGGGTTCTCACGAGCAGCTGCACGATCTTCATCAGTTAGGTATTGAATTGGTGTGTCACGAAGGTAAAGGTAGTTTTGAAGATTATTCGCGTTAACGAAAGGATCTACTTGTTGGCGCCAAAGTAGGAAACTCTTCTCATCAAGTTTTTCCTGTGATTTTGAGTTGGAACGACATAGATGCTGTGGTGGCTGGAGCTGTAGATATCGGAGTCGCTGCCATGGATAGAACCGAAGCTCTATGATATTAGAGTGAGATATGAGAGAGAAGAGAGAGAAAGCTAAAAGAGAAAAAGAGAGAAACTTATTATGTTATTGTTATATTGGAATGGAGCATTACGCTCTATTTATACAAGAGGAGTTGAACATTCAAGAGTTGAATCATTCAAGCTTTACATTTAAGGATGACTTTTCTTATTCTATTAAATTAAGGTTGACCTTAATTATTCTATAGTGCTGATTTTTCATATCCTAAGATATAACTCTAATATATTTCAACAATTCAAATCCTGGAAATAGCCTTTCCGTTTGTGGATAAGATAAAGCAATGCCCATCTACCCCATCAGATTCCACTTGGTAGTAAGAGGGCTAGCGTTGGAACAGTGGTAAGATGCCTTGTGAATGTGACTTGGAGTTTACAAGTTTAAATCCTGTAAATAGCCTTTTCACTTGTAAGGGTAAGGCTGTCTATGTATACACGATACACCTACCTTCCCATATCCCACTTGGTGTGACAAGGGAGAGTCTTGGCACAACGGTTAGCTGCTGTGTGTCTTGTGACAAGGGAGGGGTTACAAATTCAAATCTTGGAAACAACTTTTCGAATTGTGGGTAAGGCTATGTGTGCGTACTACCTTCCGCAGATTGCACTTTGTGGGAGCCTCATGCACCAAACTGCCCTTTTATATGTATGTATATTATTATAAATATTTTTCCGTGCATCTCAATATGTGTATGCAATGCATGCTAGATCCATGTCCTACAACTACATTAGTTAGAGTTTGGTGTATTCCATGTCTTGTTGCTTAAATTTTCAATGTCATGTCTGTGCTTCATAGCATGCAAGGGTTCTCCTTGCCTTAATTGCTCCCACTTTAGTTTATTTAGTTGTAGCCGAGTTGTTAGTTATCATTGCTATTTTGTCTTGTCTATCTCTTAAATAGAAGTTTAGTGAAAACATTGTAGTTTCTCTTGGCATCATATAACAACCATTATTTTTAATTGAAATGGCTAATCATTATCGTAACGTGCTTCGTAATTTCACAAATCATATTTGCCTTGACTTTCATAGTTGAAAATCCAATATCTGTTAGCCTAGAGTAGGAGGATAAATGGAATGTTAAATCCTCAAGTGTGTTTTTTTAAATAGGAAAAAAACAGAAATATTTGTTACATTAAAATTGCAGATTTCTTGTTAATTTTTTTCCTAATTTGTTCTCATCATGTTTCAGACCCATGTTATATTGCTTTTCATGACGAAGAATGGGGAGTTCCTGTTCACGATGACAAGTATGTAGGCTTGTTGTGGTGTTGGCACAATCTTCTATTTTCGCTCAACTTCCAGGTTGCAATTGTGTCTCAATGTGGGAATTTGGTTTTTGTGCAGGAAACTGTTTGAGTTGCTCAGCTTCTCTGGAGCCTTGGCGGAACTCTCATGGCCCACCATTCTTGGAAAAAGGCAGTTATTTCGGTACTGATATTTTCCATGATAAATAACTATATGTCGTCATTTTACTCTCACAAATCTAAAAATGTTGCTCATTATATTTCCTTTAATGTTGTTTTTAACGGATTCAGATTAAATTGTATGTAGAAAATGCACCAAAAGTTTAGCTTTGAATTAATGGCTGTGATGCATCAACGACAGGGAAGTATTTTTGGATTTTGATCCATGTGCTGTTTCAAGAATGAATGAGAAAAAGACAGTTGCACCCGGAAGTCCTGCCAGCTCATTGCTGTCAGAGCTCAGGCTGAGATCCATAATTGAAAATGCGCGTCAGATGTGTAAGGTAAAGGCTCCAACATCATAATTGTCTAATCATGGAAAATGTCGCAATCTTTCTTCTGAATCAAAAGGTTCTTGCTGAAGTGAATGTGACTGGAATGTTAATTTTCAAACTTTTCGGCTACCGACCATGGAAAATTGTAAGAAGAATGAAATGAATCTGCTTCCTGATCCACAGAGATGTGTGATGAAATGAAGACTAGATTGAAAATACATAAAACATCAAGGCTTTTTATCGTCTTTATCTACATCTTTTTCTCATTCCAATGCAGGTAATAGAAGAGTTTGGGTCCTTTGACAACTACGTTTGGAACTTTGTGAACAATAAGTCTATAGTCAATCAATTCCGGTACCCTCGCCAAGTACCTGCCAAATCTCCGAAAGCAGAATTCGTAAGTAAAGACCTCATAAAGAGAGGATTTAGGAGCGTGGGACCGACCATCATCTACACTTTCATGCAAGTAGCTGGTCTAACAAATGACCATCTTATCAGTTGCTTCAGATTCAAGGAGTGTATCTTCTCCAAAGCAGAGGCAGAAGACAAAGAAAGCAACTCCCTCAACTCTAAGGTCAAAGGGAAGGCAAGTGAGGATCCCACCAATGTCAGTTTGATGCTAGCTGTGAACAAGTTGAGTTTCTCCTCTTAGGAAATGGATTCCCTGCAGTCAATGTTGACTATAGTCAGTGATCTCAGTTAATCCTTGATCAAGATTGTAGAGTTGTGATTCCAAATTTGTTATCTGTCAAAGTCGTGATGTGTAGATGACGGTCGGTTTAGATCTATCGACTATTGACTACAGTGACTGCAGGCAACTAGAGTCCTTCCATTTAGTAGCAAAATGGATTTGGTTAAATGGTTATGTTGTTGTTAATCTGGTAGTTGTTAGGGAAATTGGGTAGATTGTGTTGTGTACAAATTCCATACAGATATGAATGAATGAAACATCTAGAATTGTATTTGAAATGCAAATTAACTTTTGGTATTTCTTCATGTTATTGTGTATCAAAAGAACATGAAGAATTACTAAACATTTTCAAACCAATGTTATAATATTACTGTGCTAAGTTCTAGCTTCTATAGCCATTTAATGCCAATTTGGTTTGTTGAAAATGAAGTTGGACCACAACAAAAGCAGTTGCTGTTAATAGAATTCATTTGTCTTATATTACTACAAAAACTACTTTTTATCCAAACAAAAATTATACTTATTTTTAGTACAATAAGATGCAAAATTAGTCTTATATTCACTTGGATATTTTGTTGCACTCTTGATCAAAGATGAGAAAAGGGGTGATGCCTTAAAAAGTTTTACACTGTCAACCAATTACGATCATGAATTCTGCCAAATCAGACTGACATGACGAAATGATATGTATTGGATGACGGTGCAAAACATTTTTACAGTGTTAGTGCATATCTTTTAAATTCATCAAAGATACAATAAAGCAGTAGACTTTTGGTTCATGAAGTTTCTTCAACATTGGAAATATCTTCAATTCTTCTAATACACTTTGATTAATAATACACAATTGATGTCTAATATAATTTCTAAAATTGGAAATATCAAGCTACTAACATGAGACTGTGTACTACACATAGAGAAATGAGAATTTCCTTTCCATTCATAGAATTTCTGTAAGAACAATTTGGAATCTGATTTGTGGTATCCTAGATATTTTGGCCCAAAAAAGGATCAAATTGATAAAAATATATCTCAATCTTCTATGTTGTATTTACATAGAGATCCTATTGCTCTAAAAAATGGTCCATTTTATGGAATCAAATTTTACTTAATTGTTGTGCATCAATCTTCCTGATATGGCTGCAACAAGTGCTGCTCTAAAATTTGGATCAGTTGTCAAAGAAGTAGCCATTTGTTCCACCAAATTCTTTGGTACCTTTGGTGAATCTTTCCTTGGTTCAAAATTGTTCTTGGAATCTTTATTGCTCTTGGAATTTGTTAAGTCAAGTGTAACAACTTTTGGCGCTGTTGAGCTTGGAGACGCTGAACAAGGTATCGAACTAAGGCTCGCGCTACGGCCGGAACCGGACGTTGATTCCAATGGAGCTGGTTGAGGATGGTTGTGCTCCCCTTCGTATGTAGCAACAAGCATAGATTGATCATCCACACTTCTTTGCACCTGAATAAATAAATAACCGAACATGAGCGACCTATTTATCATTTCTAGTCAACATCATATCAATTATGATACGATGTAAAAGTAAAAACACTTAAATCTAAGTTAGAACATAGTTTTACCTTCTTTTTGACAGGACAGCTTGGAGCAAAAGAGCATTTGAAATAAGCTCTCGGACAAGGGTTATCTCTAGTCACTTTTTGTCCATATTTCCTCCAATGGTATCCATCCTTCATAATCTGAAAACACAAAAAAACATGTCAAAATCCAACAATTATACACAATTTTGTACTTTTGAGCAATGCTTTAAAAGCCGAACCAAACTGAGCAGTTCAATCAGTTGAGTCATAAAGCAGCACTGTTTTTCGGTTTGGTTATTTGAGCAGTTCGACCTCAGTTTCGTCCCAATTTGGACAGTTTGGGAATCAGTTCGATTTTTAAAAGATTGCTTTTGAGTCTAATAACAGAAGAATCTAAATTGAAGACTTACAAGTCCGGTATCGGATGCATCAGTCCTAACACAAGCTCTTGAAATTTTGGGTTTAATAATTTCTTCCTCCCTTGGTTTCTTACACGATTCTTCATCGGTAGAACTAGTTTCAGAGTTTCCATTGTTAACTCCAATCAAATTACTGTTATTATTGCTGCTTTCGGATTTTCTTTTCTTGGATGTTGTGCTAAGTTCCTTCTCAGGATTTCTACTCATATATTCCATCAAATGGGTTCTCAAAGCGTTGTAGTTTTCGCAAACAACCGAGAGCATTTCCACCAATTTCTTGTTTTCTGCTGTCACCCTTTTCAGTTCCTCTTCCAGTTCATCAATGGACTGAAATCCGAAATCAAAAGCACTTGTTAGAATCATTTTCAACAGTTTTAACAAACATCATTCAACCAAATGGTTTAAGATCAATCCACGAAAGAACTTATGAAAACAATTTATAACATGTCCACAAACTCTATAAGAGAGCTTATGAAAACACTTTGACTTTAGTTTATCTTTTGCAATAGAAATTGTTATATCATATAAGTACCTATGCTATAAGCACTTAACCAAACTCTTTATATAAACAGTGCCTAATTCAACAATTGGCTAAACAAACCTAACCTAACCTCTTAAAAATAACAAGTTATGCTATAAGCATTTAATTACTATAACCTCTTTACAATAAGTACTTGTGCAATAAACACTTAAAAATAGTTATACATAAGTACTTATGGTATAAACACTTAATTAGCCTATCCAAACAGGGTGTAATTGAAGGATTGGTTATATAAAGAAAGCAAACTAACCTCATCTTTGAGAGAAAAGCTGGTGATCCCCAAGGAGAAAAAGTTGTTTTCCAGGTCTTTTTTCTAAAAATGAAAAACGAAAATATTGTAAGAACTTGTATGAAAATGCATTAAAGAATGCTTAAAAATAGTATTACTTACTGGAAGTATTTGTTGAACTGTATAAGGAGTAATGTTGAGATCCAAGGAAGTGTTGATGTATGATGAACAATCCATGTTTGGGAAATTGAAATGAAATATGAATGTTATAGATAGAGAAGTCTGGCTTAAGGTATTATATATATATGGGTAGGAGTTGAGGAAGGAAAGTGAGTGGAAAGAGATTACATGTGGGAAATAGTTATTCCACTTGCTTATTTATTTATTCAAAAGCTGTCATACAACAACTTAACACACAAATTTGCTCTTCTAGGTGTGTCTTTGGATTAAATAAAAAATATATAAATTATGCAAATATTTGCGTAAATAATTAAATAAGATGAGATAGATATATTAGAGAATACCAATTTCAATTTTTGACTCATCATATTAAGAATAGGACAAAACGGTATACATATAGTTTAAATACGATACAAATGATTTAAAACTAATTAAACAAAAGTGGAGACACAAAGAATCTCTTTTAGAGGTTGAATGAACAAAAGTAAAAAATGAATGTTTATAAGAATGATAAAAAATTAAATAAAAAAAAGTAAAATAAATGAAAACAAAATAATGATAAATATAAAAAAAAAATTAAAAGTAAAGAATGTTAAAAAAATATAAATTATTAAATAATAGAACTTATAAAATAAATTAAATAAAAAATAGTATAATAGAAAATAGGAAAAAATAAATTGTAATGAATAAAATATAAATAAGAATGTTAGAGAAAAAAATAGTATTATAAAAGATATAAAAAATGAAATGATGATAAATTAAAAAAATAAAAAAATAAAAAAATAAAAAAATAAAATAAAATAAAAAAATAAAAAATAAAAAATAAAAAATAAAAATAAAAATAAAAAATAGAATTAAAATAAACAAAATTAATGTTAAAATAATTAAATTTGATATAATTGATTTTCACATAATAGAGTTTAACAAAATTAATTATATAAAAATGAGTTAAACAATAAATTTAAATATAAAAATCATTTATAATAAATTTTATGTATAAAAATCGTAAATTTAAATTCTATTTAATTCTAAAAGAAAAATCAATTATATTTTTTAAAAATTAAACACTTCAAAATCATTCGAAATTAAATCTATAATATATTTATACCATTCATTTTATGTAATTTTATTAAAGAAGGAGTTGTACTAGATTAGAAGAACGTGACGGTATTATTTATTTATAAATAATAAAATATAGTATATAAAAGGACCATTACGACGACGGTGATGGAAACAAATTTCAAAGTCAAATCACACCTTTAAACCAATAAATTAGATTATTTCTAAAAATGTATATAAGAAAACAAAAGTAAATGTAGTAACTTTTTGACTTAATTTGGACCCACTCGTCACCATACAAGATTGGGAAATTTCTACATTTATGTAGGTAAATAATTACTTTTTAAATTTCATTTAAAAATAAATAAATAAATAATATTTATTCATTTAAATTAATAAAATATAATATTATAATACAAAACCAAAATCATCAAAAATAAAAATAATAAATATGTGAATAAATTTGCAAACAAACTTACTATATTCATGTTAAGAATATAAAAAGTAAAACTATTATGATTAAAATTATTGATTGGATATGTATTAGATCGAAATTAATTTTTTAATCTGAAATAAATGAACACCGCACAAAAATATTAAAATAAATATATCGTACAAAGACGAGAAATTAAAATATACCGTACAAAAATATTAAAACAAATATATTGTACAAAGACGAGAAATTAAAATATACCACACAAAGACAAAAATCAAAATAAAACAACATTACACTAAAAATCACAAAAAAGAATACAAAAGAAACATTAAGTATATGTGAAAAACACTTATTTAATTAATAAAGAAATAAAAATAATTTAAAGAAATAATTTTAGGATCAAAATCATTCTAGATCACCTCTTTCTAAAAAATAAAGAAGAAAAAGAAAAAAATGAAGGCAGCTAAAGTTAAAAGAGGAGAAATATGATGTTTTCAAATTTCATTAAACATTGTTTTAATAGGAAAATTAATTACAAATAATAAGAACTATTTCTAATATAAATTACAAATATAGAAAAGGTCTCTATTTTAATCTTATAATAATATTATTTCCTGTGAATTTTTAGGATTAATATGATTAATTATTATATGAGTGTTGTGGACAGAAAAGAATAATAGATTATTTAATTTAAAAGAATATTTGATTTTTCAATTTTTAGATAAAATAAAGTTAATATTTTTTGGTGGATAAAGGTCAAGATTAATATATATATTTTTGGATTTCATTTGTGATAGTATAACTTTGTTTGTTTGAGATTACGGTGATGTTAGTTTTTGTTGTAAATTTTTGTGATTTTTATAGTACATCTTTTGCTAGAGAATCGTCTTTATTATTGATCTGACCTGATCAGAAATGGATCGTCACGGCTGGCTCCGAGCAGAAAGCTTTTTGAACGAGGTGTGGGGGGGGGGGGGGGGGGGGGGGTACCTGCAAGGCACTCCGATGCTGAAGTAAGTAGGAGTACGAGCAGATAATAGCAAGTGTAAGGTTAGAATGATGAATACCTGACCCTCTGGAAACAGAGGGTATTTATAGCCCCCAGCGCTGGGCCAAGGTTCCTTCATTGGGCCGGGCAGGTTTGGCCCAATGGAGGAACTGCCAGGTTCTACGTGCGTAGTGGGGACCCGCACGTGGTCCCCTTCCTGGATGTTCTGCGTGAAGTGCGGGCGGACGGAGACGCGGTCTTTTCGGGATATCGTTGGGGGAACAATGGACTGAGTCTGCCCTAGCTGGGGTGCTCGAGGTAATGTCGAGCAGGACCTCAGGATGCGGTGCTGGACCGCAGCATGTCGAGCAGGAGGTGTGCTGTCGAGCCTGCGACTACCCCGTCGGGCACGGTCGTGCTATCTGGTCGGCGTGGCCCTTGTAATTCCATTTATACTGGGCCTTTGCAATGCTTTTGGGCTTGTCGGGCCCAGTCCAGAACAGGAGCCCCCCAAGTTGTGGTTCCTTTGTGAGGAGCCATGGCTTGAACTCAGGTCGTTTCCTCATCGAGGTCTCGTGCCCGGGACAGAGCTGTAGACCCCCAAGGGCCTCCTCGTGCCGTGCTCGGAGACATCTTCCGCGGCGGATGCCTGGAGGATCCTCACCGGGGCGTGTCTGTCGAGCATACGAGGTATCTCTCGGGAACTGTGTCGCCACTCTATGGGGATAGGGTCATCATTGCGTTGAGAGCAGCGCGTCGGGGAGAGAGACTCCGTGGTTGCCCGAGGTGACGTTTGGTATTCCACGTCATCACTATAAATAGGAACCTTGGGCCCCATAACACGTTTCTATTCTTCGTGCTCTCTCTGCTGCTGCTCTTCCAGATTTTTCCCAGTCGCGATCTTCTGTCACAGATTCTTCTACTCCGTAGCCGAATCCTACTTTTTGATTCAAGTAAGTGGTTTATCTTCTTCATTTTCCTGTTAAAATGCATGATTTTTGGCGTCTGTAGATGTTTTAGGGACTGTGCGCGTGGGATTAGCCCGGTAAACTCATGCTTAGCTCGACATATTCATGCTTAGGACCGGCAAACGCATGTTTGTGGCCGGCATATTCATAGTTTTAGGTGACAAACTTCAGCGCTGCCCGGGGTCTTCATGATCCAGGGCGCCTGATTCATGATCGCGCCCGGTATGTTCATGGTCTTGGCCGTGGGCCTCATGGTGTGGCTCGCCATGTTCATACCTTGGGTCGCCATGTTGGAGAGTGACCGCGTAGTTGGTTTGAGGAGGAACACATCATGTCGGGGAGGCAACCATTCGTGGAAACGGTTTCCCGTGCCCAATTGACTGGTTTCCCGTGCTCTGCAGGTAACCATGTGGAACGAGCCAAGCTCCTCCGGGCGCCACGATCGTGAAGAACAAAGTGCCGATGAGTCGATCAGCTTGATTGATACTGTGACCGACCCTTTGCTGGATTGGGGTGGGCGTCGAGCCCCGAGGGATCGCGTCGATCTACAGCCGGGGCGACCGAAATCCATATGCTGTCATCGAAGCGGGCCAGGGCCAGCCCGACTTCCAAAAGAACTTCGTAGTCATGTGCCCGTCCTCCCGTTCAAGGATCTGCTCGGTTTATCCGAAATATAGCTTCGCGATGTACGAGATCGCGTTCAAAGATCTAGGGCTGCAGCTGCCCTTCACTGATTTCCAGGTCGGGGTCTTCACTCACCTGGAATTGGCCCCGTCCCAGCTACATCCAAACTCACTCGCCTTCATCCGGGCGTTTGAGCTGACGTGTCGCTATCTGAGGATCGGGGCAACCATACCGCTCTTCTTCCGGATTTTTCATCTGCAGCGCCAGTCTCGAGGCGGGAAACATAGCTGGGTCTCCTTGAAGCAGTCGAGGAGACTCTTCAAAATGTATATGGACTCCGTAAGGGGTTTCAAAGACAAGTGGTACGTTGTGCGGCCAATTACCACCTCGGCTTTGGGATCCATGTACGAGGAGGAGGAGCCCCTAAGCGATGATGACGGGGAGGCGGTTTTGGGCGACGATGGGAGTCCTGTGATGGCCCGTACAGCTAAGTTCCCTGTGCACTGGATATTCAAGCACTACGAGCATGGGACTGGTTACTACCACACTGCTGCCGGGGACATGTGCTCGGAAGACGAGGAGGCGTACGCCACACTTTGCCGGTTTGTCGATAGCTTCCACCCTGCTCGGTGGGCTACGAGGGAAGGGGACGATATCTTGGACGCAGAGGGTTACCCAATGTTTGAGTCCCGGCCGATTGATACCAAGGCGCTCGTGGAGTGCCAGACGTACAGGCAGGCTGCCTGTCTGCTAGGTCGTTTATTGCTTGAATTTCTTTGCTCGTCATTTATTTATGAGCTTGCTCGATACTAACCCAACTTTTATTCTGTGCCGGTTCGATGGCCGGTCGACATGAAAGGCTTTTGAAATTGTCTTGCAACCAGAAGCGAGGCAGGAGGGTCGTGAAGGCCCCACAGGCGACGAGGATGGGCCCGCCACACAGTCCAAGTGCTCCCCAGCCGGTGAGGGTGGACTCGCCGCC